CTTTAAGGGTATTTAGGTAGGTCCAGAGAATGTTTTCCAAATAAATTCCAATAATCTGTTTGTGCACCATTACTCTGTGGAATTTACCTTTTGCTAAAGTTTGTACAGCCCATAAATATGGCTTAAAGCAAGTTTAGGAAATTTCAGTCCCAAAAGAATTAATGCACAATTTGTCAGAGATCATGCCCTGTAGAGCCCAATATAGATGTATATATACATCTGAAATTTTGCTTTGATTGGCAGTGTCTGAGGAAATGACGAACGTGCTTTGAATTCCCACAAAGCGCATCATAACTGTGACCTTTTCTCTCCAATCTTTCCAGTTTCTTCTATCACTCTTCTAATTTGTGTATTTCAAGAGTAAAGAAAGCCAGAAAGTTTTGTATGGCCACAAACGTCAAATGAGACAGTCTGTGTTAGCTGTGAACATAAGCCCAAGATCTTGGGAGTTTAAGCCCAGATGTTCTGGAGCAGACTAATTATTCTCACTGATTTGTGTTTCTGGAAGAAATCGCAGGTCTGTTAAGTGCATGACAGGCATATTGCTACGGTCTGTGCAGTGGAATCCACAGACAAAGCTGTGGCCTTACTGTGGTCTTGACACACATGAATCTCAGAGTAAGCCATCACTTGTTTTCCCTTCAAGCCTTTCTCTGCTTCACTCATATGTTAAAAGGCCAACTCTGTTCTAAGCAGAAAGATGAGAAAAAGAAGAAACTCTCTTTCTTGGAGAACATGTGTGCTTCCTTCTTCAAAGGAATGTCATTGCAGAAGGCAGTGGATAGACTGGTAATGATAAAAACACCTGCTCCAAGGGGATAGTTGGTAACTCCCTCTGGTGACGTTGGTACGAAAGCATTGATGGAGCCAAGCTGTCATGTCTTACTGCTGTCATTCAGAGAACAGTAATTGTTATTGCTCTCACCCACTTGTGCACTTTTTCTTATGTTTTTTAATGAGGTCTGATACCCTGATGCCATTCACAGTCTCTGAATTGGCATAGGAAATTTCCCTGTGGGGAACACTAACCCGACACAGGTAAAAGTTGGGATGGGCTAATCAGCTAGTGTTGGGTTGATAGCTGATTTACATCTTCTTTTCCAGAGACTCATTGTCTCAAAGGTCCTATAGCCAGTATTTCTTCCTGTATATTCTAGAGAGGTGCAGGTCAGACTTCTGTGTGATATTTGCTGTAATGGCAGCCAGCACCAGACCACAAGGCTAGGGACAAAACCGGTTTCCTTCAAAAGCATCTTCCTTGCCAAGCTGCTTGCATTGCAAAAGACCATAAAATTGGTATCTTCCAAGATCTCCCATTCTGCATTACAGAAACTGACTGTGGTAATGGCAGGTGGTGAGAAAGTGTCATCCCAGTCTTTCACATCCTGGTTGCCTTGTCACCTGTCACTGAGGACATCGTGGAAATGAACAAAATCCTAAGGCATACCCTAAGCAGACTTATGTCACTCATTGGGGCACAAAGATATGTTACCTAAGAATTCTGAAAAATGTTATGTGCTTTTATTTCCATGGACAGTTTTAGTGTCGGTCATCAGAGCAGTAGAAGAAAAATCTTAAATGGTAAGAGGCTGAAAAAAGCTCAAAAGCTGGATTTGTTCCATTGTAAAATCTAATATTCATCTGTGTAGCAAGTACGTAAAGGTAATGAGTTATTGGGCATTAGTAGCCACATGTAATTTCCTAAAAGGGAGGAAAAGTTGTTCTTATATCCAGGTTGCTTTGTAGTAATCATGCGGACTGTATCAGATGTTAGATATCTGCCTCTTTCCTTACCTTACTACTATTCCAGTGAAACTGGAAGTTTGATAGGAATGTCATAAGCCATATCAGACAATATAAGAGACTTTGAAGATGGCTTACTCTGTTTCATCGATTTGTGTTCAGTATTTCCTCAGCCAACAGTGACTGTGTGCGTTTCCACAGCCTGACCACCGTTTACTGCTCTTCCCTGTCCCATTTCAGTCCTCTTTGTGATGGGACCTTCTGGGTGAGAAGCGATCTTGTTTCTTCCGAAAAGAGCAATGATAGAATACAGGAAAGTATTGTTTATTGTGACTGTTGGCTTCTTGTTTTCTTTTCCTTTGAGGAAAGCTCTTTATTATTTTTGAAATCTTTGAGGATTTCAGAATCAAGAATGGATGCTTGCTTTCATCAGGCTCAGCTGCTCTAAGCTTTAGGATGCTTATGTTCATACAGCTATACACCTA